GGTTCCACCCCCTGCACCACGACCACCCTGGCCATCCGAGTACTCACTCGCTTGCATCTTGTCGGATGGCCAGGTCGAGCTGACCAATGCTGGTGTTTGCACCCGTCGGGTGCATGGCCACGACCTGAAGCTGTACCTCAAGAGAGACATGGATCCGCTCTTGGAGGCACCTGCTCCTGCACCTCCCTGAGTATCCACCATGGGCGTCCAGCTAAAAGACGGTAAAGAAGCGCTTGTGGGGAGGCAACCCCACCACGGTTTGCATTTCTTTTTCCCTTTTTTATGAGTTTTTGTGTCGTCTTGAGTCAGTTGCATGTCTGTGGTGAAGTTCGGTCGTCTGTTATGCCTCGATTTGGTGTTGTCATGCAGGAGAGGTCGAAAATTTGGGCGAATGAGTTTTTTGGCCGGAAGGGGGCAAATACTCGGACGTGGGCCAAAATACTCGACCGGGTATTTTTGGTCCACGATCGGGCCCCCTTCTGTTTCTCGGGGTGAAAAAGGGAAAACCCCCGACCTTGTCCCAAAAATACCCGACCAGGTATTTTTGTTTCACGGCCGGGGATTTTCCCAAGTTAGAACGCCGCGTTTTCAGAACCCCCAACCCTGACCCAAAAATACCCGGCCGGGTATTTTTGGCTCAAGGCCGGGGATTCCCTTGCACTTGGCACGCCGCGTTTTGGAACCCTATTTATAGCAAACCCCCGGTCAGTTTCTCTCTCTACCCTCATTTTTCAAAAATTTCCCCTCTCAAATCCTCTCCCCTCTCTCTTCTTGAGCGCCGCCGGTCCTTTTCCGGCGACCTTCCAGTGGTTTTTCGGCGACTTTCCGACCATTTTCCGGCGAGCTTCCCGGGTCATTTTTGGCCTCCGTCTCGCGTCCCTCACCCGTTTTTTGAGCCTTAGCTACAGTTCTCCTTGCGTTTTCAGGTGTGTTTCTTGTTAACTGCTCTTTCCTGGAAAATCGAACTGTATTTGCATGCATGATTTAGAAAAGGGTGAGGGATGCTTTGAGTATGCATGGTTCTATCTATGGTGTATGTGCTGCCCGTGTAATTAATGTAGTTGGTTCTGTGTTTCTTGCCTTGTATCCGGCTGAGTTGCTTGCGATTCAACCGGCTGTGCTTAGAACTGTTGGCCTAGGTGGTCCTTAAGTGTGGGGGAAGTGATGAACCCATGTTGTTGGTCCTGACAAGTTTTTTCTTGGCTCCACCTTTGGTTTGTTGCTTTTGCAGGAGCATGTCCCTGGACCATCCATTTGTTCAGAACCTGCGCCTTCATCCAGAGTACGCGGACCAGTTCCGCGCAGTGACGCGGGGGAAATTGCCGCGCCACCACCATCTGGAGTGGGCAGTATTCGAGCAGCTCCACTACATACAAGAGCTCACCGCCGCCATCAGCCACCGCGATTGGCGAACGCTGCTGACTATCGAGGAGCCCACCTACACTAAGCTGGTGTGGGAGTTCTACACCACTTTCAAGTACGACAGCAAAGCGCCCCGAACCCGTATGCAGTGACATTCAGGCTGGGCGACTACGCCCGAGAGCTGACCATTGACTGGTTGGCCTATGCCTTAGGGATCGAGTACCATCCGTTCGATCGCCACGAGGTTGAGATCCCGCACCCGACCGACTGGAACCAGGACGAGTTCTACCGCCGGATAGCCAGGCGCACCCATGGGTATGACTACTTCGATCCTGGCTAGACATACGTCCGCACCCTCAAGCCGCAGTGGCACATCCTGAACCTGCTCATCACTCGCTCCATCGTCCCCAACGTCACCGGCTCGCATAAGATTCCGAAGCACGTGTTGTATGCCATGTACTCGATGGGGGTACCCGGAGCACATGCTCCAATTGGGTTCTTTCGTGGCCACCACCTTCTCCCGGTGCCACGGGAAACCCAACCACCTCTACTGTGGTCCCCTGATCACCCGTTTGGCGTGCCATTTCGACATCAGCTTCCAGGGACTCCATGATTCTTCTGCACGGGGCGGCTCCACCCCCCTCAGCCGGGAAGTGCTCCACAATGCACTCCTCCTGGCCACTGATGGCACCCGTACCTGGGTAGATGGGCTTTCCATGCCTCCTGAGGAGGCTGTGGATCTCGATGACGACGAGGAGGACGCTGACTACTCCGGCGAGGAGGAGGATGCGGATGATGATGATGATGATGGTGGGGCCATGGATAACGATGAGCCGGAGCCCCCGCTCTCTCCACCAGGGGACCTTCGGCCACGACGGAGACCAAGGAGAGGTGAGTCCTCCTCCGGTCCTTCTGGTCCGTCGATGGACTTCTTCACGGAGCAGTTCCAGCAGATGGGGCTCCAGTTCCAGCAGCTCGGTCTTCAGAACCAGCAGCTCATGGACCATCAGGTCCAGTTCTACCAGCAGTATTTGGCCCACCAGGCCGAGTACCAGTCCAGGCTGACGGTTGTTGACGAGCGCCTCGGCCGCTTAGAGACCCATATGGGAGTCACGGGTGCTCTCATCGAGCAGGAGAGAGATCGAGGCCGCCGATTGATGGAGTACTCGAAGCACCTGCTCCAGGCTTGTCACCCACCGGAGGAGCACCACTGGACCACCCGGTGGGATATTCACCACCACCACCACCACCACCGGAGGATGGAGACGACGACCTCATGAACCAGATCTACTTCACCGGTCTAGGAGGCGGAGGCTCCTAGTGGCATGTTTTGACTATTTTTGTTTTTGTCAGTGTGCAAACTGTCTTGTGTCGGTTTCGTTTCTCTCTTTTTATTTTGGATGCTGTACTATTGGGCTGACCATTGGACCTGACGTATTGTGTTTGAGCTCTTTGGTTTCCTTTCGTTTTCCTTGTTCTTGACTGGTCCTCTCTCCAGTCCACTTCACTCCGACTGGTCCGCTTCCAGTCTCCTGCAGTCCGTGCACACCGGTAACATCGTTCCCCTTTCCTTCCCTATTCTCCATTGAGGGCAATGTCGATCTTTTGATTGCGTTAGATCTGTTTGTGTGCTTGCAGCCTAGTCCATTGTCCAAATTTTTAAATTTGAGGGCTCCAAGTACGTGTTCCTTGCAATTGCCTGCTCAGTATGCTTTGAATTGACAGTCTTTATAGTAATATGCAACCTAGGGAGGTAGTGTAGCACTATGGAGGATGTTGATGCATTTAAGAAGTCTCATTTCTTCTTCATATTGTGTTGGTTGATTGTGTGAATTAGTGATCTTAGGACTCTTGAATTGTGTGGTGATGTGGACTCTCTTCCTGTCATGGACTCCTGTATCATGTTTTTGAAATAAAAGGTGCTCGAAAATGTGCTTTAAAATAACGTCTCCCGTGCGAATATGGCGAAAGTGTGTAAGGGGAGACGGGAATCCGTTCCCAATTTCCACCTACTACCTCCATCCCCCTTACATGTCTTTCCCCCGCACGAGGCTCGAGACATCCGCTCCTGGCATGGCCGGTAAGAGTCGGGCTCCCGCAAAACCTCTGCTAGGTGGGGGCCCCCATTTTCTGAAAAGCAGGTTGGGACCCTTGAAAAAAAAAACAGAAAAACAAGCAAAAAAAGAGAGAAAAGGGGTTCCAACCATCTTCAAGAAGAAAATAGAGCACCTTAAAAAGGTGAGTCCATGATCTTTTGTTTGTGAGAGTCCATTCGTCCACGATTCATTTGTCCTCTGTTCACTATATGCCATGATGCCGACTCGAGACTAGCGTTCTCGCCAAAGAAGCTATGAGATGACTTGTGCATCGGTTGACCTCGTAAGCTGCTAAATTATCTAGGAAATCCTCTACCTATGATCGGGGTTGTTGGTTGCTATAGAGGTCTGGAGAGCTGCATTGGTTTGAGTTAGGTTCGCTTGGGGACAAGCAAACGGTTAAGTGTGGGGGAGTTTGATAGACCAATAATTACACATGTTTTACCCCTAATCTTGAGCCGTTTGAGAGGTTGACTCTCGTGTTTTAAGCCGATTTCACGCGAGGTTGTGTGTTTATGTCATATTTCAGGGCCCGGCGTTGGAATCGACGCGAAGAAACGAGTTTTGGGTCGAAAGGAGCGAAGTTGGGTTGAAGTGTGCTGGAGAGCAAAAATACCCGGCCATGAGTAGAAATACCCGACCGGGTATTATCTGGCCATGACCGGGGATTTTCGGCTTTGGTCGTCCGTGAGAAACAGAAGGGGGCCCGGGCTGGAGGCAAAAATCCATGACCGGGGGATTCACAGTATGATTTTCGCGTCTGAATCTGTTTTTGCTTCTTTCTCCATGGAGTAGTTCTCCCATTCATCTGGGTATGGAGAACCCTAGATTTGTATGTTAGGTCTGATTGTATGAACCCAAGTACAGATTTCATGAGTTGATTATATTCGATTGAGGCTTGAATGATTGAATGACTTGAATCCTGATCAAATTCCTATTGTTTCTGCTTTAAACTAGAATGAGAATATCTGCCTAGGTTGATAGAGCACTCTTAATTGAAGGTGGCGAATTGGTGACTTTAGTCGAGGAGCCAATTCGCTATTCTGTACCGAATTCAATTCGGTAGTGGAGGTTTGGTTCGTTAGGGCCTCAATCTGTTTACTCCAGCGGAGGTTAGTCGCCCGCTGGAGACTCAGATTGAGAGGGTTTTGAGACCTTTAGTCGAGACTTCAGACTGTTTAAGAACCTTCTGCAGTATAACTTTCATGGAAACTGAACTTGGTAAATTGCAATCCGGCTTAACTGTAGTCTAGGGGGAACCATATCCGGGTGACCTCTCTCGACTTGAAAACAACCATTTACTTGCTTTGTTTGTTTGTTAATTTGGACCTGCACTAAAGTTTCATTGCTAGATAACAAGAATTCATCGAGTAGTCATCAAATCTAGGACCCGGGTTGACATTGAAACCTAAACCCGCTATACTACGCTTTAGGAAGTGGTTTCACTTGGCCATTTTCTAGAGTGACAGTAGGAGTGAGTCAAGTAGCCACTGCAGTTCGCCTCATTAATTATCAAGTTACACCTGTGCTTGATCATAAAAGTCCTTATTTTGATCTTTATTCCGGTCATCATGATTACTCCTGTCTTAGAATTTTTGGTTGTCTATGTTTTGTTCCTCTTCCCAAACATGAACATAATAAACTTTCTTCCAAAACTGCTAGGTGTTTCTTTCTACGGTATAGTGATGTTCACAAAGGTTATCTGTGTTACGATCCTAAGTTTCAATGAATGCGAATTGTTGCATCTCTTGTCTTCTTCGAACATCACATGTATTATGTACATGGTTCTTCTCCTTTGGTCTTTCCTTCCTCTAATGAGTCGTTGCCTTGATTGATGATGATGATGATAGTGATGCCATTCCTTTTCCTCCCGAAGACCCCAACGCTCTTCCTCCCACATTTGATCTATCTCCACAAAGCTCTACTTCATTTGTTTCGACCAGTCATGGTGCGTCTTCACAACCTTCCACTCCCTCATTGGTTTAGAAAACAGCTTCATCCAGGCATGCTTCATCTTCATCTAGTCCCACCAGCTCTCCGTCCACGTCGCACAATGCATCTCCACCTGTTGAAGAGGTTCTTGCCAAAGAAGCTCCAAATGTTAAGAAATCTCTTCGAGCTACTAAAGGTATCCCCCCCCCCCCCACCTCACTTTCAAGATTACATAGCACATGGCATAGACACTCTTGTTGTCGCTACCCACTATTGGCAAGCTAGAGGTGATCCTGTTTGGGAACGAGCAATGAAGCGGGAACTTGATGCACTTCATGAACAAAATACTTGGACTCTTGTTCCAAGATCGTCATCTTCCACTTCACTCTTTGGTTGCAGGTGGGTTTATACCATCAAAATGAATTCGGATGGTACAGTTGATTGCCACAAAGCTCGACTAGTAGCTCAGGGACTACAATGAAAACATTTGCCCGTGTTGCAAAGATGTCAACAGTTCGTACATTATTGGCGGTGGCAGCTCAGAATAATTGGCCTTTGTACCAATTCGATGTAAAGAACACTTTCCTCCATGGTGATTTAGAGGAAGTTATATATATGGAGAGGCCACCAGGATACTCATTGGGTTCTAACGATAAGGTCTGTTGATAGACCGTTAATTACACATGTTTTCACCCCTGTTCTTACACCGTTTGAGATGTGGTTTCTCGTGTTTTAGACCGATTTCACGCTAGGTTGTGCTTGTTTGTGATATTTCAGGTCCTGGCAAGTGAATGAAGGTTTAGGAGCGAGTTCGGGGTCGATTGGGCGAAGATCGGGCGCGAGACAAGTCACAAAGGAGGTCACACGGGCACACCCACAACTCACACGGCCGTGCAAGTGACCACTTTGGCCGTGTGAGATTGTGCGAGAGCAAACACGGCTTGCCCTGATATTCACACGGCCGTGTGAAGGAGTAGTTTGGCCGTGCGAGTTTCGCCGAGAGCAAACACGGGCAGATGGAAATCTCACACGGCCGTGCGACCCTGGCCGTGTGAGAAGCCTGAAGATCGAACTAATTGGAACACAGCGTTTTGACTCACACGGGAAACTGGGTAAGCCACACGGCCGTGCCACCCTGGCCGTGTGAGTCGGGATTTTCTGCTTTTAAGCAGATTCTCAGCCACAAGTCGGGGGGATTCGAGTTTTTGAGAGAGAGAATGATTCCTAGAGAGAGAAAGCGACGAACAAGAGTCTCCAAGTGCCCTAGCTTGATCTTCATCACCATTGGAGGCCAGTTTGAGCTTGGAGAAGTGCCGATCAACGTCCAGAAGCAGGAATCCATCCTTCACAGTATGAATTCCGCGTCTGATTCTACTTTTGTTTTTTTCTCCATGGAGTAGTTCTCCCATTCATCTGGGTATGGAGAACCCTAGATTTATATGTTAGGCTTTGATTGTATGAACCCAAGTACTGATTCTATGATTTGATTATATTCGATTGAGGTTTGATTGATTGAATGACTTGAATCCTGATCAAATTCCTCTTGTTTCTGCTTTAACCTAGAATGAGAATATCTGCCTAGGTTGATAGAGCATCCTTGATTGAAGGTAGGGAGTTGGTGACTTTAGTCGAGGAGCCAACTCACTATTCTGTACTGGATTTGCTCCGGTAGTGGAGGTTTTGTTTGTTAAGGCCTCAATCTGTTTACTCCGGTGGAGGTTAGTCGCCCGCTAGAGACTCAGATTGAGAGGGTCTGAAGACCTTTAGTCGAGACTTCAGGCTGTTTAAGAACCTTCCGCAGTATAACTATCATAGAAACTGAACTTGGTAATTACAGTCCGGCTTAACTGCAGTCTAGGGGGAACCATATCCGGGTGACCTCTCTTAACTTGAATACAACAGTTTACTTGCTTTGTTAGTTTGTTAGTTTAGACTTGCATTAAAGTTTCATTGCTAGATAACAAGAATTCACTGAGTAGTCATCACATCTAGGACCCGGGTTGATAATTAAACCTAAACGCGCTATACTACGCTTTAGGAAGTGGTTACACTTGGCCAATTCCTGGAGTGACAGTAGAAGTGAGTCATCTGTCTACTGCATAGATCTCTCTACGGGCTTAAACAAGCCCTCGTGCATGGTTTGAAAATTTTCAAACCACTATCACTGATCTTGGATTGCGAAAGAGTCTCAACAACCCGTCTTTGTTTACTCGTACTACAACAAAGGGTACAATTGTTTCACTTCTCTATCGTATCATCATGATATGATATTATATATATTTTTTCATTTTTTTAACTAAAGCAAAATAAATATTATTGTCTAGATCATGAAGTTTATTTTTGTACTATTATAGTACTATCATATCATGATATGATAGTGATGAAAAAATTATATGTGAAATTTGTTCATAAAAATGAAATAAATATTACGTGTGGAATCTATTCTAATTATACCATGTTTGGAATAACCAAATTAGGTTATATACCATAGTGGGGATAATGATTATAAGTTCTGAAATCTACTATAGTCAATTAACCTTGTCCTATGAGTTAATAGTAAGGTTTACTATAGTTGGGTCAATGTCTAAAATATATATGAAATTTTTTCAGAAAAATAAAATAAATATTATTTGTGGACTCTTTTCTAATTATACAATAATTGGAACAATCAAATTAGGTTATATACCACAGTGGAGATGATGATTATAAGTTCTAAAATCTACTATAGCCAATTATCCTTGTCCTATGACTAGACAATATCTTAGTAACTACATGTTAAAATCATAAATCATCATTTGTAAACATTATGTAGTTATCAAATTGATATGTATATAATCTATAATGTGAAATAACATGCATTTGAGATCGATGAGTGATGTTATTGGGATGAGCTCTCTGATAATAGGTTCTCAAACCTACTATAATAAATTAGCCATGTTGTATAGGACTATAATAAGATTTACTATAGACAATAATACTTTATTCACTAAATGCTACACTCCTAAATAATCACTTGTGTAAATGTTGTGATAATAAAATTGATAAGTAATTAAGTATATGATCTATTATGTGAAATAACTTACAGATAGTTTGAGTAACACACTGCAACCAACTAGGCAATGCCTTTTAAGGGTATAATTAATTTTACTATATAAAATGACTTAGTCAGTAAATGTTAAAGTCCCAAACCATCATATATAAACTTATAATAATCAAATGGACAAGTAATTAATTATATGATCTATAATGTGAATTGGCGTACATTAATGTAACAAGATTATTGGTACGAAGTTTAGATATAGATTCCACGTATGGTTTTGGAAACTAATGATTACTACTTGTGTACATTTCTCTTATAAGAATTTAGTCATGTAGCCTTTTGTATTAAAGAACATACTACAATCATTAATCATTAATCAAGAGAAATATTATAATCTAATCTGTATTAATTTATTCCATTTTATATTTACTCTTGTGAACTGTTTCATGTTTATTATATCTCATAATTAGTTTTTGGTTCTAAATTTAGGTGATGGGAAAAAAGTTGGGAAAGTTCAAACATAAAAAATCGATATTCGTATTTGAAAGCACCAAAATTTTAAAACGTAAAAAGAAAGCACCAGAATTTTCCCTTCTTTCTCTTCCCAAAAGGTTGAAACCATACTCTGAACGATAGACAATCTTCTATAATATCACTATCTATTTTGCTTGAGTATTGAGCTTGCTTAAGAAATTAGAGATCTATCTGCAAAAGAAAATTGCAGCCAAAACCTTTTCAGCAGGGTTATAATGATTAAGTCCAGAATTAGCCAAACCCGTATTTTTTATTCATTGATCGTGTGTGGTTATTTCAAATTACACACATCAACCTCTTTGGTTTCGGACAACTAGAGCAAAACCAAGTCATCAGAAATATTATAAGAATTTATAAGATTTCAAAGCAAAACCAATGACCAAGTCACCCCCTGACCCTGAAATGTAATGCCAACACACACACACACAAAAATATGCACCATGCTGTTTGTTACTCATCACAGCCATCCAAAATTGTTGACTAGCACCTCGCTTGTAATCTCTGGTGAAAAAACTCCAAAATAAAGTTTTCATTGTGTTGCATCCAAGGTGCTGCTGGCAACACTGAGTCCTTCACAAGCAAGTTACAGACAGTCATTCAACCCCAAAACCAAAGAATCAGTAGTAATTAGAGTAAAAGAGTCGTCAAACAAAATCTAATGCAGAGGTATCTAATCTTGCTGTGGAGTTCCCAGTAACAGTTCAGATCTTGACCTTAGCCATGCATGTTTAAGCTAAGATGCATTGGGTAAGAAGATTCAACAAGTAACTCAGAAGCCATCATCCCCATAGTCCAGAAATCAACCTGTGTAAAGGGTAAAGCGAAAATCAGTGCCAAGTTAGGATGCGAAAATCGATGTTTCCACTCGATACTCTATTGGAGAGTTATCAATATTTATCAAATCCGTTCCTGTCAAATGCAACGCTATTGAATCAAATGACCTTCACTAGCAGGGTTTTTTTAGACCATTTATTCTGCTGCGGATGGCAGGTAGCAAAGAATCAATCTTTCTTTTTGTTTTAGATGTCTATTCCACAGGATCCAAAACTCAACAGGATAATGCAAGCAGAAATCGATGTAGGCAATGGGAACGTATGCTGACATGACCAAGTCATTTTCTGCTTTATGGTAATTCTTGCAGTAGGGCGAAGCTGGTTTTTCTTAGCCTCTTAGATGGAAGCAGACCCCATGGAATTAGGCTTTCAGCTGGAATATATTTTAGTCTTCAGCTCCTTCCAGAACTCTGGCCCTCTGGGATGAATTGTTACATACTGCCTGACAAACAATTTTTCTGATGAATTGAGAACAGTGCTGAAAGACAGGGTTCTAGCAACTAGTCCTTGTTCTCTGAGCCAATCATACATGGATAATCTAAGCTTGATCACCTGCGCTGTGCGGACCAAAAACTTTGGATACATAAGTAGCACTGAGATCGGATAACCCAATTCATTTGCAACAAAATGAATTTTCAGGTTGATAACCTCCTTCGACTGATTAAGAATATGCGGGCATGATTTGATCATTGCACAAACATCATGTTTATTCAACCCCGCTCTCACAATACAGTCAAACCTATCTTGCAGCTCTGATCCTTTGCCTCGAATAAGCTTAAGTGCTTTTTCCATTTTTTCAGAGTTATCTGTGAATCCCAAGTCCAACAAGAATTTCTTCTTCAACAACTTTGAGCTTTGTTTATCACTTGGACCCAGTGGTGTACACTTTGATCCAATCACCCAATTCTTTATTTGAAAGGGATCATTCAGGATAACCTCACAAAGCGTCACCTTCCCACATTTCAAACGAGATAACAAAGTGCTGGTTTTCTTCAATGCACATGAACTCAACAATAGAGGTTGAGAATGCACAATCTTTCCAATCTCAAGTGGCTCCATGTCGATCTCAGTAAAGAACACGAAGCACTGCCTCAAATTTGACAAAAAGTTTCCAACCTCCATTACTTGACATTCAAAAAAGACTGAGCATGCCTGATTCATAGGGGTGCCAAATTTGGATAAGAACCCGATAACTGATAGTGTTTTATCCGCCTCAAATAAGATATCCGGATGCTGGATTATCAAGCAACATAACTGTTGTTCACTATAACCAATCTTGACGAATAAGTTGATAAGTGACAGAACCTGGCTCCAAGGACAACACATCTTCTCGGGCAGATGCTCTTCAACCCAAGATAATGAAATACCCACTTTTCCCAACACTTGCAACAAACTAACAAAATCAACAATAGCATTCCCCGTCAAAAATTGAGGGCTGGAAACTATCACCTTAGCTATGAAAGACCTGTTAATCCCTGCTCCTTCACAGGCTTTGAATTTTGAGGCCAACACCCCATGCTCATACCGAAAAACTTCAGGTACCTCAATGAGAATCTTCCCCATCTTATTTCTTGGTATCACATACTCACACAAGACGTGGTAGTTCTCCATGAGCAAACCATCATCACTCAGAAACATCATATCTTCAGGAAGAATACAACTGTATACATTCGGCTCTAAACCCAAACTCTCAAAGAAAGGTTCAAATTCATTGATGGGGTGATACCTCAGAAAACGTGTTATAGACCTGCCAATATCTTTCTCAGAATAATCAATCTTCGCCAGTATTTTCTCCAGAAAATGAGGCGAATTTCTACTTATATCATCTGCATACATAAACTGTAAACTCCTTGTTGAGTGCAAGTACTCCAACAATGCAGCTTGCCCTTTTCTCCGAGCTTCTCGTCTATTGGCTCCAGAAATTTGGCCATAAGTCACCGAAGCCCCAACAGAAGCACCAGGATTATCCCAAGAAACCATTTGTCTCCTTCCATATAACCTAGGACCACTTATAACGGAGCATAAGCAAGCCACTGGCTGCGATTGGCACCATTGGCTATCACCGAAATTCTTTAAGCCCCATCTGGGATCTGACAACTTTCTAATTCTGCCCCAACGAATCATGGAGGGCTTGACGGAATAGCAAGGGCGACACCAGAGAAACAGAAAGTAACCACAAATTGCGAGCAGAAAAGGTAGATACCAATTGAAACGCCTTCAACATTCTATTTCACCTGGGCACTTACGGTATGTCTTCTAGCTCTGGATTAGAATCTAGACATTCATCGAATAGCATCATTCCTTATTGCTGTTAAGAGAAGCCATCCCAGCAGTTGCAGTTGCAGTTGCGGAGAGCTTTTTGGTAGTCACTGGCCACTCCCAAGGGTTTTGGGTTTATGCTGTGGCAAATGTTGAATCCGTTCTTTGTTTACCCCGTTTTTTCTACACCTCAATTTTCTTTATTTTTTAGGGTTTCGCTTGCTTCAAGGATTCTCTACACCAAAAAACCAACTATCAAGGATTTAGGTACAATCCGTTGTTTGCTTGTACCTTTTTTGAAACCAAATCCGTGGGGCCCACGGATTTGGAGTTGTTTGCTTGTACCTTTTTTGAAACCAAATCCGTGGGGCCCACGGATTTTAAGGGTCCAAATCCGTGGACCCCACGGACTTATAAATCCCACATGTTGATGTGGGATTTAGAATATGGCATAAATCCTTGATGACATTTTACCCATATACCCTCATGCACTTTTAATATTTTATACATTATAATTAACAATAAATGAATAATATAAACGTTCAATTAATGTGCAAACATGAGTTAGATTTTTTATATCATTTCTTGTGTTCTAGTTTTCTTTGACCTTTTCATGGAACGTGTAATTCTTTGTTCTCCCGATTCTAATATATGTTATATGTTACTTTTGAAAAGGAGGACAAAGAATTGGTAATTGATTATGTTACGTTAAAAGTTAAAACGGAATTTTCTCGTTTATTATTATTGTCCATGTGGCAACATTATGCTTAGTAGTATGTATTGTCCTTGTTTTGTGTACATATCATAAACATGTCAAACATATAGAAAATGATAGTAAGGTAATTTTGAAGTTTTGTCCTTGTTTTGTGTACATATCATAAACATGTCAAACATATAGAAAATGGCAGTAATGTAATTTTTTACTTCAAGTAGTAAATCCCACACCTTTAAATCCATGATAAAAACATCCCAACAAACAAAGGATTGTTACAAATCCATGATGCCTCAAATCCTTGATAAATCCTTGGGTTTTTAAATTACAAAACTCTCGTTTATAAATCCATGAAGCAAACGACCCCTTAGTTCGTTTGTTTGAGTAATTTGGTAATAAATGAGTAAACAACTCGTTTGCTAAAAACAAAATTGCATGAGTCATTTTGTCTAAAAGAAAGTTCCAAATGACTCTATCGAAACATTTTCAAATGACTCATTATTTAGTTTAGGGGTGGGCATACGGTTCGGTAAAACCGAACTGAACCTAACAGAACCGAATATAAACCCAATCGAAACCGAATTAATATTAGTCGGTTCGGAATTCGGAAAAGAAAAGGACATATTTCGGAAATCAGGGTCCTTTCGGCTGAAACGAATTTTTGAATTCCGAACCGAAAAATCGAATTTTATAATTGCAAGCTCCAAATTGTGGGTTTTTATGTTTCTACTTATTATGAGACTTAAATATTTGAATCATGTTAGTGTTTTATGACTTATGTGTTGCAATGTTTGATTTATCATTGAAATCGAACCGAAATATAATTCAGTTTGAACTGACCGAACCGAATTATAATTCAGTTCGAATTCGGTTTGAGGTTTGATAGAATTCGGGAACCCGATATGCATAATTTTGGTTCGATTTGAACCGAACCGACCGAATGCCCACCCCTAATTTAGTCCAAATGTTCCAACTATGTCCTTACCTATCTATCTATCTATCTATCTATCTATCTATATCTATCTATCTATCTATCTATCTATACCTATCTATCTATACTTAATATTATGACTATTCAAAAGTAACTTCTTGCCACATAAGCACTTGGTAAATTCACAAGATGACAAGGTGGACAATTTTTTTACAAGCAAAATTTTATTTATTGATCTATTTATGAAGCTATCTCTCTCTTCTTTTAATAATTCTACTCATTTTTACTAAAACTTAAAATAATTTACTTTTTTGTGATACATTTAAACAAACAAACACACATAAGTAATAATGTTTTTTCAATTAAACAAACTATAAAGATGAAAATATAGAGTGACATGAGTCGTGTTTGTTTAACCCAAAAATATCTTATTAAATCTCATTACGTAAAAATTTTATTGATTTTTACTAAAACTTTATAATAAGTTCATTTTGATAAAAAAAGAAGCACACATATATAATTTTTCAATTAAACAAAGTTTAAACGATGGCCTAAGAGAAAATAAGTGGTTGACAATAAATCGACTTTGAAAAATAAACTATGTGACTATATATTTTTTGCTATCAAACACTCACTTCTTCCTAATGCATATACTTATAAAATAAAACAAGTATAATTTTTATAGAAAAAGGTCTAAGATAAACTTGACAGAGCAATAATTGTTATTTTTTTTAAAACACTTCTTATTCATTCCGATTAAATGAACATATTAATTATGAATGCAACCTTTTAATTTATCTCTACCCTTTTTCCCATTTTGATTATCTCTCTGGAAATAAAATCCAACATTGAAAATAAGAAATTAGATAGAGAAAGAAATGGTAATGCATATGAAGTTTTTTTTAGGAGAGTTGGAGGAGGGAGTTACATGAGGCAGCGATTAGATGACAAAATTTTGAGCAATTGTACCATATTTTTGCCTATTGATGAAAACAGTTCATCCTATAATTGCGAAGACGAGGTGAACCAAACCGAGGATTGTCGACTGCTCCCTCTTCCTCTTTGATCTTAAGCTGGCAACTGCTCGCTCTTCTTTCTGTTCTTCTCTTAATTTCTTCCAAATTAAGACTGTTGGATGGTAAATTGCTCCACTCGATGAGCGAATGTATTTCTTCTTCGTTTTCACGGAGTTTTTTTTATGTTCTCTATTACGTCATATACTTTTATGTAAATAGGTAATATATAATTAGAAGGGATAATTGGTTGGACTTAGGGCATATCTCCTTTGGTTGAATAATTGATCATTTTCCTTAAATGTCTATTGCAACCCAATTCCTTAGATGTTGAAATGAAAAGTAGAGTTGTGAGGGTTATTCATTATATTTTTTATGTTCATGATTGACATGTTACTAGCTAGCTATAAGATGACAATCTGGTTAGTAATTAATAGGTAGGAAAGGGATTATAAGTAGAAGGGAACATAATTGGGGTTTTATAAAGGTCGCGAAGAAGAAAAAAATGATGGTGGTGGTTACTCGGTTGTGTATTTCGATGTTTTTTCAAGTTTTACACGTTTGCAATGACATTTGTTTGTTTCATTAGGGTGAATTATTACTCATTAAATTCCTAACTAAAACTTGATTTTGACATGATTGTTTTCTTACCAACTACTATTTGGATTGGTGCATAATCACAAATGAGGAATATGCAAGATAGAATGAGTTGAGTTGTATTGAAGTATGCTCCTTTCATTATTTGTCTATGTTGTTATTAGGTAGAAAAGCACCATTTTTTTCTGCAGGAGATATGTAGCTCTCTATAAAATATAAATTGTGTTTATATGCAGTTTAGTTTGCTGAAAATATTGCTTTAATAAATTAGTGACAACTGATAGTTCTGTTTGTGGTTGGTTTTGCTAGAACATTGTCAAGATAAATTAAATGAGTATGCGGAAGATTGATGGATGTGGATGCTTATGTGTTTCATCATTATTCCAGAATTGCAAGTGTAACTGATAATACACGATATTCATGGGATCTGGATCGAAATACTCACTATGATCTTATACCGACATATGAAAAGGGAAAGAAAATGAAAATCTCTTCGCTTATTTTTTTTATTAATTGAAGCATATTTTCTTATTCTAACTTCTTCGTTTGTTGCCTTAAATTTTTTTAACTTCTTTATCACTTTTTTTTATTTAGATACAAAATTCTAAATCGATAAACAACGATATATAAAGAGCTCAGTTAATACAATTAAATTTTTCTTAAATAAAAAAGGTATAAAAGTATGAAACGTGACCAAAAATAAGGTAAGTGAGATTTACAATTCCATGTATATTAGCTCAACAAACATAAATAATAATAATAATAATTAGAATACTATAACAAATTATAAAATAACCAAGCATAATGCACCGCCCAACGGGCGGGTAAAAAACTAGTTTTATGTAAACCCACTTCTATTCTTCTCTTTCTATTATTTATTTTCTATGTCATTGCTTTGCTTCTCTCATAATTATTTTTTTCCTCCAAATTACACAAGCAACCAAGAGGGTCATCTACGTAGCAACGCATATTTTACGTCACAAACACCATCATTTTGAATTAGGTTAAAATTAGAGAGTTATGGAGGCGTTACCTTTTATAAAGAAAGTTAACATAGAATTATTATTTGAAATTAGAAAGTAGTATTATACATGACAAAGACCCAAATAAAATATTTTGTTGATTCAAAATAATTTTGTTTACATGGTTGGTTTTATTAGAATAGGAAACAAGATAATGGAACATATTAGATGTAAGGGCAAAATGTAACTTTATGCAAATGACTCATCTCAAAACTATTAACAAACAATATATTTGAAATGTCTACATTCCCAAATGTCTACATTTCTCAAATGACTCGTTTTACAAATGACTCATGCAAACGACCCCTAAAGGATTAAAGTCTGATACAAAACTCTAGTCTCTACATATAATATCTCTTTCTACTTTCGTTTTATTAAACATATCCCTCTACTATTTTTTACATCAAGCATATGTCTGTTGTTTTCGTTGAATAATCAAACATGTCTCTGTACCTTACAAAAGTTATCAAACATGTCATTCTGCTTAAATTTTCTTCCAAAAACCGTCAACCACAGTCGAACCTTGTTTTGGGCGAGACAAATGTCTAATATATCTCTACTAATTTCACTTTATGATTTTTTTTTTCTTTTGTAGAGACAACTACCTCTAACAATTTCACTTTAACGAGACCTTGAGAAATAAATCAGGGGGCAAAACTGACAGTTCCCCTCACAAGTCCTCATCCACAAGTATACCAAGTCTACAGCAGCGGGACTTTGTCCTCTCACAAATGGCCGCATGTCGAACTTGTGGAGAGGGATAATCCAAGTTCGGAACAGAGTTCAGGAGGGCACAGTTTGGAACGTCCAGAATGGGAAAAGACCACGATTATGGAGTGATCAATGGTTGCATAATGGGGACCCTCTTTGCACCTACGTTGTTGGGCTTACTGTCGAGGCTTTAGACCTCCTCGTTGCCGACTATATCCTAAATGGTGAGTGGAACCATGATTTTATTAACTACCTCTTTACCTCAAGATGTTGTTTCGCAGGTGATGCTTCATCCCATACTGGACGAGCACGTTTGGAGACTGTCACCGGATGGAAAGTTTAGCTTCAAGACGACCTATGACCTCACTGGAGATGATGATGCCGTAGCGGATGGTCAGCACCCACGCTGGCAGGCCATTTGGAGAGTACCTGTCATGCAACGTATGTGCACTTTCCTATGGCTTGCAACTCACCAGGACTCATCACCAATGTTGAACGCAAAAGGCGACACCTGACGGCTGACGATGGCTGCAAAACCTGTGGCAACGGGCCAGAG